CTGCTGCTGCTCAGGCCCCTGGGTGGGTGCCCAGGAGGCCACAGGCTGGTTTCACTGGAAGAGCCGCTTGGTTTCAGGCCGGAGGCAAGATACAGACACCAGGCTCCTGTCTGCTCCTTTCAAAGGAGGGACAGCCTGCCCTTTAGTCAAGGTGCCTGCCTGCCATTGTGCACCATGGGGAGGCCGTCCCCACACTTGGCCCTTTGTGGGGTGGCAGTGGGCCTCCTGCCGGTCCCTGGGATACTCCAGCACCCTGCTAGGCCCACCGTGATGGGTGGGTCACGAGTTGTGGGGACCGAGACTCACCTGAGGGAGGTGCTGGCAAGGCAGGTGTGGTGGCGAGCTGAGGAAGTGACGGGGGTGGGGGGGGAGATGGGCACAGGCACCCCTACAGCGTGTGCTGCCCACGCTGTGGGGACACGCTCGCAGCCTGTCCTCGTACTCTGCTCCGGGGTGGGGGCGGGGCGCCATGCACAGCCGTTCCTACCAAGGGGGTCCCACTCCAAAGCAGATGACCGGATTTTGAACGCTGGCTCTTCATTACCTGGCTTGTTTGGTCCCCGGCTAGTTATCCTGTCTGGGCCCCCACTTCTCATCTGGGAAATGGGCGTCAGCAGGGGCTCACAGGGCGGGGCGGGTCCAGTGGATGTAAGCAAACTGGGGCCTGGCACGGGGGATCTGGGACCCGCTGGCTGGGGGTGGCAGGAGCCACACCCTCCGGGGTCTCCAACTGGGGCACAGGCACCCCTGGGACAGTGACAAGAGGCTCCTGTGAGCTGAGTTAAAGCACAGGATTCAAGGCGCACCCTCAGAGGGCAGAGCCCTGCTGTCTTCCCTCCTGGGAGCTGGATGTGGGATGGGAGGAGTGTGCGGTTTAGGACAAGCCTGCTCGACGTCCTGCCTGCAGGTGAAGTCGAGGCTCCCTCTCGGTTGCTGCAGCAACCCGCCAGGTGCTCCTCTGAATGGGGACCCCTCTCTGCCCAGCGCCCAACAGTTCCAGGCAGTCAACAGGGTCAAGCTGTCACACTGGCGCCACCTACAGGCCACCCAGGATGCATCCTGCTTGTTCCCAAAGTCCGAGAACTGGGGGTGTGGGTGCGTTCTGAGGAGGAGAAAGCCCTTGGTGCAGCTTTTCCAGGAGGGGCTGATTCAGGGCCAACTTTCCAGGGGTGGGTGGGTCCATCTCTCACGTCCTCCAGCTGCCCTGTGTCACTACCTACCAACCGCTGCTGCGGCCACCAGACAGATCCCCCTTCCAGAGGGAGCCCTCCGTCTCGGCTAAGTGCCTGACCTTGGTGGGCGAGAGGCATCTTTATTTATTTATTCCAGAGAGGGGGAGGCAGAGCGAGAGAAGCACGGATTTGCTGTTCCACTTATTCGCGCATTCACCCATTGGCTGGCGCTTGTATGTGCCCTGACGGGACGGAATCCGCAACCCTGGGGTATTGGGAAGACGCCGGCCTGGGGCCATAGCATTTTTATTATAGCAATTTTTTCTCTTACCCAGAAGATTACAACTGAACAAACCCACAGGTAATAAAGGGGCATGCTCTTGGGGTCAGCACACCAGCCCTTCTGTCCCCTTGCAGGGCCACTTCCCTTGGTCCTAACCCTCCCTGTCACTGCCATCAAATGGCCCCCAAACCACGCCCAACGTCACCGAGCACGCAGCACCTGACGTCCCGTCCTCCACTCCGCTCTCATCTTGGCTGAGTGGCCACGTGGACGGCTGACCCAGCACCCAAGGTTGAGAGGCCCTGGATCTGCGGGACTGGCCCCTCTGCCCCTTTGGCGTTCCCTCCCTTTTAGGGTCACAGGCTGAGACCTGGCCGTGTCCCATCTGGAACTGCTCCGTCTCCGACCACCCTCACCTCCCACCTGGTCCCAGCCTCCTGCCCCTTTGGGAGCCGGCTGCTGCCAGCCCCCCGAGAGTTGGGTCTCACAGAGCACCCCCTTCAGCCTCACCGCTCCTCCCTCGGCCGCCTGCATGTGTCCCTGCAGGCTCTCGACCGCGTCCACAGCTGACATGTGGGAGGCCAAGCTCAGGACTGTGGAATGACTGTTAGCAGGTGCAGCTCCTTTAGTCATTTTACTAAGTACAAACTTTTCACTGTGTCTGGATTTTGGCACCCACTGGTCGAAGATGAAATGCACACCTTTCGTTTATGTGAAGAACAGAAGTGATTTTGTGCGAAGGGTCAGACCCTCCCTGCTTCAGCAGAATTCGGGTGGCCGAAGGACTTTGTATGCCTCTCCATCAGCTTTTACACTGGCAGCTTAGGTGGCCTTGCCTTTTGGAACAAGAGAAGGGTCTTCTCGTTCGGCACATCCGCAGGGCAAGGAAGGGCTCGCCAACAGAGAGCTGCAGGCCCCATGAGGCCCCATGCTCCCTGACGTGGTTTATTAGGCCGGCTGGGAGGACCAGCTGGTGGGCAGGCATGTGGCTCGCGGCTTTAAAGGCGACATCCTCGGTCCACAGACACTTATTTCAGTAGCTGGTCATTCACTCTGGGCCTTTCAGTCGACTTCCAGCCTCTGCAATTGCTCCCTTGTGGAGCAAAACCTCCTGGTCGGAGACTTGCTTCTGCAGCTACTAGTAACACTGATCGCTTTCAGGTATGTTTCACGAAACTGCCTTCCAAGATGAAGTGGACTCGCCAAGCCCAGACCCAGTAAGAACCAGGAGACGAGGTCGAGGGGACTCGGCAGGATCTGGCTACGAGGAAGGCTGATGGCCAACCACCGTGCGGTCGCAGGCGGGCTGCCTGATGTCTCCCCAGGTCTGTGGGCTGTGTGGCCCTGGCTGCACCGCCCAACGGTGTCCGGTGTCCGGAGAAGGAGCTCATTCCTCCTGCCCGCCTACCCGCAGGGGGTGCTTGCCTGGAGGTCTGTGCTGCTCCACAGAGGCTCCAGGCCACGTCTTTTGAGTGACAGGTTCCATTATGTCCAAGGTCAGGTTTCTTCAGGGCACAAGGAGAAGAGCCTCAAACCAGGGTCTCTGCTGCCCCTGCAGAGCAAAGATCCCACTGGCTCCGCAATGAGGAGCTCGCACACGACTCTCCCGGTTCTGCAGGAGGTGAAGCAGACGGAAGCTACCAGTAACCTTCTCTGCGAATATTTTGAGATTTCAGAAACTTGTCGTTGGCCATGCCCGCAACTCTCTGGACGCACGTTTTTTAGGTCGGCAAACACACCTCCTGCTGAAAGAGCACACTCCTCAATGCCGTCCGTTTCAAAGATGTCCCCGCAGCGAAACTCCCATCATGCCCGTGAAGGCCTGGCCACCGCAGCTCCTTCACAACGCACACACCACTCCTTACCGCCGCCGGGCAGGGCCGTGTTCTCCGCGGCCACGGGAGTCAGTACCTGAGGATGCGAATGGTCAGCTTACTTTAACTCCCACCCAAAGGTACCTCCCCTCCCCCGAATTCTCCACAGGAAGCCGCAGGGCGGTGAGGAGCCCCAGACGATCGGCAGAGCGAGCGGTTCTGTGTTCTACGAGCGGCTTTCTCCTTCTGACCAGAGCACCCACAGCACCGCAGCTTGGGCTCCAACAGAACCACAGAACGAAGGATCGCGGTGATTCTGACGGTCTGGCAAGTAACAATGGCAGACAAATAGTAAGACGTTTTGTTTCTTCTACGGGGTTGAAAGGTCTCCCTAAAACTGCCTCCACCTGCGACTCTGCCTGTCTGTACTCCTTCCCATCTAGAACTGACCAGGTGTCCTGGAGCCCAAGGCCCAGGCCTGGCCAGGTGACCTTCGGCACATCACTGCACCCCCAGCTTCAGTTTCCTCCTCTGTACCTGGGCCTGTAGGTCCCACCGTGTTTGGTTCTAAAAACCACCTTTCCGAGACGCCCAGCTCTGGCGTTGGGGGTGCCCCGGGGAGCTGTGGGGTGCGCCTGAGGGTCCTGCTCTCTGTATGGTCAGCGGTTTCCCGGGCGGCGTCCCTGAGACAGACGGTGTCTCGGGCGCTGCCCAGACCATGAGTGGGCAGGGCCAGTCTGGCCAGCACGTTACTGGCCCCCAGGTGACACAGACCAAGTGCAGGTTTGAGACCCTCCGGCCGGTGAGTAACTTCTGAGACAAGATCTTTCTAAACCGCAGGGCCCACTTACTCTGGAGGCCCCACAAACACCCCCCGGAGAAGACAGTGTCCCAGCAGGACGGACCCCTCCCCCCTCCAGCGGTGTCCCCCGAGGCCGCCCAGTGCCTTCCTGCCAGGTGCTCCCCGGGCTGAGTGCACAAGGCAGCGTGAGGCACGGGGCACACCCGCTCCCCAAACAAAACAGAGGCCCAGACACCCCCAGGAAGGGGCGGTCATCAGGCAGACACTGACCATGGGCCGGCCCGGCACGATGCACTGGAGACACACAGCCAGACCCCTAGTGACCAGCAAAGAGCCAGGTCTCAAACTGGTCTCATCTGCTGGCAAGCTTACTGCTCAGAATGGTTTTTAACACACACATGTCTAGGGATCTGGTCATTGCTGTGGTTGGTGATGAGTCCCATGCAGCATCAGTTGTTATTAGCCAAACTGAAGGACTATCAGTTGACCTTGGACTTCCTGAGGAAGTCTCCCGGAGCGTGCACCGCCCCCATCCCCACCGAGGGGTCTGAGTGGCCCCCCCAGAAAGAAAGCATGTTAGCTGAAACATCGTGCTTGTCCACGACCCCCGCCCGTTTTCGCGACCCTGGTTAGACTGTACACGTCACTGTCTCCACTTTCCATGGAGATAACAGAGGCTCGGGGGTCACCAGGGCGAGGAGGAGGACCCCCGAGTAAAAATATTTACTGACACTGAGCATCTGGTGGGTGAGCACCCAGACCAGACCCCGCTGCTACGGTAACCAAAGTGTCGGTGCCCCAGCCCCTCGGGATGGGTAAGGACGGGCGGGTGGGCCGGCCAGCGAGAGTCCGACCCCGCCTGCTGTGCACAAGGGCGCCTCGGGTGGACAGGCACACGGCACGGCGGAGGAACACCGAGCAGACCGGGGTGTCTCACAGGTGCATTTATTCAGCCAGCACGGAAGTGGAGCTCCCACAACGCAGCGTGCCCGTGTCTAACAGCTCCGACACACAGCCCGGTGACGCTCCGCCCGCTGCACACTCGGGTCCTGCTGCTTAGTGGTGCCCGTGGGCAGGCGCGGGACTCGAACCTTTGGAAAGAAGCGAAACAGAGACCGGGCTTAGGATGAACAGACCAGCAGAGCCGGGTCGCCGTGAGCACCAGCGGGGCACGGGGGGGGGGGGGGGGGGCAGTGCTCACTGGTCTGAAGAAGTTTACAGAGCTGCCTCCACCCGGGCCCTGGGGAGCCGGAGGGTGGAGGGGGTGGTGGCGGGGAAACGCCGCCCCCCAACGGTGAGGGGCAGCTCGGGGTGAGCGGGCTCAGACAGCCAGTTTCCCGGTCACCCGGGGAACAGGGGGAAGAGCCGTCCAGCGCTGCTTCTCCACCACCACCCCGGGCTGCCCCACCCACGGCCTCGCTGCCGACTGACCGATCCCTAGCTCGCCTGCAAGCAGGGCTCCCACTCGGCCTACGGGGGTGAGCGGTGGCTTTCAACATCCAGGCCACAAGCAGCAGAACTTCACGCTCAGAAATATCACCACTGCGCCTTCTACTGGGTTGGCCAAAAAGCCTTCAGTTTTCCCATCAAATAAGAGACACCTTTGTCATTTTCACCAATAACTTTATCGATATGGATGTTTTGAGCATGTCGGCTCTCTCCCGCTACTGGCTTCTAGTGGGGAGGGGCTGGAGGTGCTGCTAAACACCTTCCTGCGCACAGACAGCCCCACGGCCAGGAATTACTTGGCCAAAATGTCAACAGCACCGAGAAACTTTGTAAACCGCTTGTGACACGTTTGATCAGTCCCAGCACCTTCTTCCCTACGCTTAAAAAAATTTTTGCGTTTCAGTTATGTTTTTACCTTTCTTCAAATAATAAAGCATAATGTGTTGGAAATGTTGCATTATCTTCTTCCATCTTTACTATTAAAATGGCTATATGAAAATTCACCAATTTTGGTAACTTTTTTTTTTTTTTTAACGAGAGATGGGAAGAGAAGGAGAAAGGGAGAGAAACATCGATCAATTGGCTGCCTCTCGCATGCGCCCACTAGAGACCCAGCCTGCAACGAGACATGTGCCTTGACTGGGAATCAAACTGGCGACCCTTTGGTTTGCAGGCTGGTGCTCAGTCCACTGAGCCACACCACCCAGGGTGAATTTTTTTTTAAAATGCACACTGATATGACAGCTGTCACAACACAGTCTAACAAAATTGTTTTGAATGAAGCTGAAAACAGCCGAGTGCCACGAGAGCTGTTGTGTGGAAAGGCCCTACCGGACCTTCGGGCCAGCCCAGCGCACTGACTGCATCGGAGTGGGCGCCCATTCAGGGCACTGACCTGCCTGCATCAGTGCGACGGTGTTTTCCCTCCCCACCCACTTAAAAAGCAAAAACCTTACCTTTCAAGGCTTTACTTCTTTTATCTAAAATACAAAGAAAGGAAAATTGGTCACATCAGTCCTTTATAAAAAGCCCTCAGACAGCCCACTGTGGAAGTCAGCTCCTGGCAGGGAAGCTCCCGGCTGCTACAGGAAGCTTTCAGAAAACAGGGCTTCCTACGTCTCATGGCCAAGAGGTCAAATTTCTACCACACATGTTCCGTGAGCAGCTAAACAGTTTCCCCACATCGGAAAGGCCCTCTACTCCCCACCACACCCCAGAGTCCAGGGGTGCGATTCAAAGTCTCCTTTCTCTCCTCTTTTTGGCCAATTGCTTATTCATACAGGATTGGGCCCCATCTCTGCTCCACTGAGAACCAAATGGCCACCCTGCTGCAACTTTCAATACAACTGCTTCCAGCGTTCAGCAAGGCGGAAGAGGAACAGTAAAACAACGGGCGTCCCAGGAGTGTCCATGTGTCCTTGCCATGGCTTCACCCCCAGAGTCTAGTCTGCAGCTCTTAAAACTAAGCACAGCTGCTATGCTTCTGAAATAACCACTGTCACACCCAGGAAAAGCCACAATTCCCCGACCCTCCAGTCTTCCCCCAATCTCCCCAGCGGCCTCCTAACGTCTCCCGGCTGGCGTGTGCCCCCACCGTCTCAGCGATGCACCAGACTCCTGCCGAAAGGACTCACTCCCTCCCTGGCCTCCAGTGGGTCAGGCGCGGGACTCACCAGCGCTCCTGATTTTGTAAATGATGAGGCTCATCAGCCCCATTCCCACCCAGATCTCCTGGTAAACCTGGGTGTAGTAGGGCTTCATGGGGACCCAGACATTTTTCACGAGGCTCTGAAACATCTGCAAAGGAACACAGCAATCAACATTAACACAACTGTGGCTTTACACTGAACTGGAGGGGACGCCCCTGTTCATTAAGTTCACCTGATCCCCCCCGACTGCGCTGCAGGGACCCGCTGACACCAGATATGACTCCGACACCTGCACCCACACGGGGCCCCTGCTTGTGGCTCTGCGAGTGCCACCCCCTCTCGATGCCCCCACCTTGGCCACCACAGCACTCAATCAACCCTCGCTTCTCAAGCCTGCGCCACCCTGCAGTGCAAGGAACCTCGCACCCCCGAGGGCTGCCCTCCACTGATGGTGCCCCAGGTCACTCTCACAGCATTTAAGCTGAGACCTCGTCTGTCCTGCTTAAACGGACAGACGGACATTTCTATCCACCACCCTGCTAGGGGCTGTCGGCATGGCATTTAAAGCTGGAAAAGAGCAGGGCCAGGGCGTGGGGGTTCCCTGTGGGCTGAGGCGCAGGCTCGGCTGCACCTTGGTGCTGCTTTGAACCTCAGCCCTACTGAGGCTGGACCACATGTAAAAGTGTGATGTGCTGAAAGTGTGCGTTGTGGTGGGGACTTTGTGCAGGTGTGTGCTGTGAAGGGATCCGCCCTGTGTGGCAATCGACACGCCCACTACCCCACCGCCCGTCTCTCGGTGATAGGACACAGCACAGGCCGTTAACCGCAGTCGCCACGTTTCACGCATGCACCCCAGCCTACAAGCCCACTACCAAACATGGCACAGCGGCAGGCGCCAAGGCTCGCCACACAGCTTATTTCGTGAATAAAAATGTTTACCGATCACTGAGCTTGACCAGTAAAAGCCGTCAATTTCTGCACTTCCGGTTCACCTTTACGTGCAGGTCTCAAAGCAATGCTTTCTTCACGCTCATGATTTACTACCAGCTCTAAGGGGCACACACCCACCTTCATCTCCTCGAGCCTCACAGCACCAGGTCTGCCCCCTACAGCCATTCCAACTGCTGTCAGGAGTCCTGGGTCCGCGGCCTCCCCATTTTGCATGAAAACACCCCTGTGCTTCCCTGGTGATGCAGCCTCACACCTTCGTGAGTTCTGGCCCCCCAACCAACCATGGAAGCCCGGGTCCTGCCTTCACTGCTCGTTCGTTCAGCAGCAGTGACCTGAGCCTGCACTAGGCAGCGGCCCACACACCGGGACACTGGGGTCAGAGTGCATGTGGAGGGTGGGGGCGTCAGGAAGAAGGCTGGGACCTGCCCAGACCCTAGCTCCAGCTCTGCCACTCCCCAGCTAAGTTAAGCTGTCTCAGGTTCCACATCTGCAAATAGAGCCCCAAACAGTGCCCGCCTCAAAGGGCTGTTGGGAAGATGGGTTCCTCCACGCCCAGTGTTCAGTGTTTGGCGTCCTCTGTTGTGCGCTTCTTACATAAAATGCCACGGCTGCACTAGGGAAGGGGAGGCGGGCCAGGCTACTGAGGGCCTTGGAGGGCACAGTCAAGACTCAAGATCCCAGCTCTTACTCTAAGAACGCCATGTAGATTTGCCAGCATTCACAAAGTGCTTCCTACCCTTTGCCTCCTGCACTGCTTCCCACCCCTACAAGTAAGAACTCGGAGCAGGTTGTCTGCCATCACCCACACTGCTCTTTGAGAATCAGCCCCCAGGCCTGGCTTCCAGCTCTTCCCAGGAGAGCTTGGAGCTTTACCCTTGCAGGAGGTGGCCCTGTCCTCCTCCCGGAAGCCCACAGTCCCTGTCCTCAGATGGAACCCAGATGCTCTGCCAGCATGAGGCTCCAAGAGACCAACAACCTTCTTGAGAAGGAGCCTGAGGGGATCCTAACAGGACCGAGGCCGCATGTGGAAGCCTGGGAAGGGCGGAGCTCAGAGGCTCAGAGTGCAGGCCTCCTCCTGCTCCCACCCAGCAGTGAGTGGGGAGGGAGGTGCTCCAGGAAACCAAGGGGCCAGAAGCCTGGAATCCTGGGCTGTGTTGGAACCAGGTCTGCCTGCTCTGCTCTCGACCTTGGGCAAGTTCCTGAAGCTGTGGTTTCAAAAGTTTTCCTTTCTATGAAAAAGGGCTGCCTCCTCCTAGGTATCAAACCCAGCCTAGTGCCTGGCATGGAGTGAGAAGTCAGTAAATAATCAGAGCGGTCCTTTATGGAGCTGAGCTCAACAAATCTGATTACAATAGGAGGGCGTAGAGAAGCAGCTCTCAGAGAGGCTGGAGTGGAGGCGTGGGGGCCCTCTGAGGGAGGCCCGGTGCTGATCTGGAGGGTGCAGAGAAGGTGGGCAAGAAGGGACCAAAGACACGCCCACTGTCCTGGAGTTTTGCTCAGGACCAGGGGCCCTGGCATCGTCCACTCACCTACAGTCATCCTGACTGCTATCCCTATACTGCAAACTTACCTTTCCCTGGGGCCTTTCCTTTTAACTAAAGCTGCCGTACTGGACTGAACAAGTGACATGTTCTCAACGTCTAACACAGTGAGGCCCCTATTTTCCCCGTCTAAGTCCCCTCTGGCCCACATTTCCCGGCTCTGTGTGCGGGTTTTACAGCACCACAAGCCCATTCTACTCAAAGACCAACCGGGTGTGTGTCTGTTTCAGTCTGCAGAGGTTTTGGTACCTTAACAGCAAACCGCTCTCTGACTGACTTCACTGGAGGGGACGTCTGACCCCTTGCATCCCAGGCCGGGGCTCACAAGCCAAGTTCGACCCCGTTTCGGTCGTTTCCCCTCCCCGATGGCATACACACAGTTCCACCAGGACACAAATGTGTTGCGGGGACTTAAGAGACTCGGCGGGGGGTGGTGGGCCGGGGAAGGTGCTAAACGCGAGTAACGGTTCGTGCTTGGACTCTGGCTCCTCACTGGCCGTGGCGTGACCTCGGCTCGGCGGCTCCCCATCAAAGGGGGACGGGGGCAGCTGCCGCCCACTAACCCTAACCCCTGGACCGGCTTCTGCAGTTTCGCGAGCCGGGGCGGAAAAATTTGCGCAGGCAGCGGAGGGGCTGGGCCCCAAGGTCAGCGGGGCGGGGGGCTTCCGTACTGCTGGGGAGGGTCCCGCTCGCCGCCGGCTCTCTCGGCGGACACAATCAGGCCCAGGCCTCCACCAGCCATTGTCCCATCCCCCACCGTCCCCGATGCCGGAACCGAGCACCGGCCCGATTCCGGCACTCACCTCGTCGGAGGACCAACGGCCCAGGTTGCTCCAACCAGTACAAGCAACGAGCCGGGAAGGTCACCGAATGCGCAGGCGCCGCGCAGGGCCTGCCGGGAAGGCGGAAGGAGGGGCGGGTGCCCAGAGCCGAAACACTTCCCAGGCCGCGGCTGCGCACTACAGCGCCCCCAGCGGCCGTTCTGATGCCGCATGCTTGAAGGCTGACCGCCGGGAAGGGGCTTGGGTGGCTGTAAGAAAATAGTAACAAGCCCTCGGGGTTTGGGGATTTGTCTGGGACGCGGGAGTTTCAGTGCTGAAACCGGAAAGGGCCTGGATAAAGCGGATGAGTAGGTCAACCTGAAAAAGGGACTGTCTTTACTTGCTCAGCTAAAGCTTGAGAAATTGAGTCCTCCATCTCTGTGGTTTTCTTGCCATTTCTCTTTGGACTATTAACATTTTAAAAACATTTTATTGATTATGCCATTACCATTGTCCTATTTCCCCCTTCATTCCCCTCCCCCCTGCACACCCCCTCCCCCACCATTCCCCCCTTTAGTTTATGACCATGTCTCAAGCTCTTTAGATTCTATATTTTCCATACTATTCTTGCCCTCCCCCCTATCTATTTTCTGTGTACCATCTATGCTTCTTATTTTCTGTACCTTCTCCCCCCTTCTCCTCCTCCCACTCCCCTGTTGCTAACTCTCCATGAGATCTTCATTTCTATGGTTCCACTCCTGATCTAGCTGTCCTCTTCGTTTGCTTTTGTTTTAGGTGTGGTTGTTAATAACTGTGAGTTTGCTGTCCTTTCACTGTTCATATTCTTTATCTTCTTTTTCTTAGATAAGTCCCTTTAACATTTCATATAATAAGGGCTTGGTGATGATGAACACCTTGAATCTGATCTTCTCTGAGAAGCACTTTATCTGCCCTTCCGTTCTAAATGAAAGCTTTGCTGGATAGATCAATCTTGGTTGTAGTCTTTGGATCATGACTTGGAATACTTCTTTCCAGCCCCTTCTTGCCTGGAAGGTCTCTTTTGAGAAATCAGCTGACAGTCTGATGGGAACTCCTTTGTAGGTGACTGTCCCCTTATCTCTTGCTGCTTCTAGGATTCTCTCCTTCATTTTAATCTTGGCTAATATAATGAATGATGTGCCCTGGTGTTTTCATTCTTGGGTCCAACTTCTTTGGGACTCTCTGAGCTTCCTAGATTTCCTGGAAGTCTATTTCCTTTGCCAGATTGGGGAAGTTCTCCTTTATTATTTGTTCAAATAAGTTTTCCACTGGTGGCTGTTCCTCTTACCCTTCTGGTACCCGTATAATTCAGATGTTGAAGCGTTTAAAGATGTCCTGGAGGTTCCTAAGCCTCTCCTCATTTTTTGAATTCTTGTTTCTTCATATTTTTCTGTTTGGTCATTTTTTTTCTTCCTTCTAGTCCACTCCCTTGATTTGAGTCCCAGTTTCCTTTCCATTACTATTGGTTTCCTGTGCATTACCATTCATTTCAATTAGTTTAGCCTTCATATGTTCCTCTAATTTGTGACTAAAACCAACCAGTTCTGTGAGCATCTGATCACCAGTGTTTTGAACTGTGCATCTGAAAGTTTGGCTATTTCTTTGTCACTTAGAGTTATGGGCTCTGGGACTTTGAGTTCTTCTTAAGCCATGTTTGGTCTGTTCATGCCCGTTAAGTATGAGGAGTGGAGCCTTAGGGGCGGGGCGGGGCCTTCAGGGCGGGGTCGCTGGGTTGTGACGCTATATGTAGGGGCGGGGGCAGAGTGGGGCAGTAGCAATCCTCTCTGCTGCTTCCTGCTGCTGGGGCCTGCTTGATCTGTCTCACTGCTCGCTCCTTCACTGGTTTATCTGCACTTGAATGTGTGGCCACAGTCAGCCTGCCGCCTTGCCCCCTCACTGGGTCTGCCCGCCTCAGCCCCACACCTGGGGATTCGCCAACTGCATCTGGCTGAGTCTTCCTGCACAACCCCCCTCTGCCGGCCTCTGATTCCTCCCCTCTTACTGGTCTGGCTGAAGGGTTCCTTGTTGTCGGGCTTCAGTAGTTTAATTTTCTGTGTTATGGCTGCGTGTTTGTTTTACTAAAACTTTGCTGTCTTTAAACTCGGTTGTGTGAGGAGGGACAGTATTTCCACCTATGCCTCCGTCTTGGCGGAAGTCCCCTGGACTATTAACATTTTTGTTGCATGTTTTAATGCATCTATTCCGTGCCTAGTAATTCTACTCAATAACCAATATAAAACTTTCCACAGGGGCTCCTGACACTGGATCCAACACACACAGGCTTTAAGAACAACTGTGCCCTGGCTGGTGTGACTCTGGATTGAGTGCTGGCCTATGAATCCAAGGGTTGCTGGTTTGATTCCCAGTGAGGGCACAAGTGTGGGTGTGGACCAGGTCCCTGGTAGGGGGCACGTGAGAGGCAACCACACACCGATGTTTCTCTTCCTCTCTTTTTCTCTCCCTTTCCTTCTCTCTAAAAATAAATAAAAATAAAAAAATAAATCTTTTAAAAATATATTTTATTGATTATGCCATTACAGTTGTCCCATTTTACCCCTTCATTCCCCTCCATCCTGCACACCCCCTCCCTCCACATTCCCCCCTTTAGTTCATTTCCGTGTGTCACAACTTCTTTAGATTCTATATTTCCCATACTATTCTTGCCCTCCCCCTATTTTCTACCTACCATTTATGCTACTTGTTCTCTGTACCTTCTCCCCCCTTCTCCTCCTTCCCACTCCCGTTGCTAACCCTCCATGTGACCTCCATTTCTGTGGTTCTGCTCATGATCTACCTGTCTTCTTAGTTTGCTTTTGTTTTAGGTGTGGTTTTTAATAACTGTGAGTTTGCTGTCCTTTCACTGTTCATATTCTTTATCTTCTTTTTCTTAGATAAGTCCCTTTAACATTTCATATAGGAAGGGCTTGGTGACGATGAACTCCTTGAACTTGACCTTATCTGAGAAGTGCTTTATGTGCCCCTGCATTCTAAATGATGGCTTTGCTGGATAGAACAATCTTAAATGTAGGTCTTTGGATTTCATGACTTGGAATACTTCTTTCCAGCCCCTTCTTGCCTGTAAGGCCTTTTTTGAGAAAACAGCTGACAGTCTGATGGGAACTCCTTTGTAGATGACTGTCCCCTTATCTCAGAAAGAAATCTTAAAATAATGGCCAATCTAGAATTCATTGTGTATGGAAATTGACATTCAGTGAAGAAAGTGAAATGACATTTCAGACAAACTGGGACTGGGAATAATCACCACTGGATCTGCAAGGGGAAAGAAAGAGAAGGAAAGAAAGGCATTCATTATTCAGGCAGAAGGAAAGGAGCTGAGATGGAAGGGTGGAGATGGGGGAGGGGAGATCCGTGGACACAGCCCCGCTCCTGAGAGAAAAGGGCTTGCTGTCCATTGAAGCTGTATGCGAAACTTGGAAGGCTTGCTCGCCACTTCAGGACAGTGGTTCTCAAAGCGTGGTTTGGGGGGTTTCCAACTCCCCGAGGAATTGAAAATTATTTTCCTAATAATGGTAAGATGTTAATTGTCTTTTTCACTAAAATTTCCCACAAGTGTATGGTGGACTTTTCCAGAGGCTATGTGACTCATTGTGTCCCAATATAGTGAGTCCAGAAGTAGGTACGAGAACCCAGCTGTCCTCCAGGAAGGTGGACGTTAAGACTTTAACAATGTAAAAGTGTTACCTCTTCTCACACAGAAAAACACATTTTACTTATGTTTTTAGATTTTCTTTATTTTTAGAGGGAGGGGAAGGGATGGAGAAAAAAAAATGTTGATGTGCAGGAAACAACCATAGGTTGCCCCCACAAGTTGGGGGTTGCACGCCCCCAACCAGGGACCTGGCCCCTAATCCAGGAATGTCCCTGACTGGGAATAGAACTGGTGACTGTTAGGTTCACAGGCTGGTGCTCAATCCACTGAGCCACAACGGCCAGGGCAAAAAAATTTTTTATTTTAATTTTTTAAATTATTTTTTAAAGATTTAATTAATTTACTTATTACACCTTTTTTGTTTTTAAAAAAAGACTTTATTTATTTACTTTCAGAGAGAGGGGAAGGGAAGGAGAAAGAGAGGAAGAGAAACATCGATGTGTGGTTGCCTCGCACATATCCCCACTGGGGACCCTGCCCACTATCCAGGCAGGTACCGGGACTGGGAATTGAATCAGCAACCCTTTGGTTCACAGGCCAGTGCTCAGTCCACTGAGTCACACCAGCCAGGGCAAAATTTTTAAAAATATAGTTACTTTTCATAAAAATATTCTCTTTAACATCATATAACTGTATTATTTTAAAATAAATTTAAAAGTTAAAAAAAACCCCTGTAATCCCTAAAAAGGTAGCTGTAATGCACATAAACAAAAATTCTTCGGGGTCTTCAATTATTTTAAAGAGTATAAAGGGGTGTAAAACTTCACGAACCACTTTGGACATGTTTGATCAGTTGCAGTACCTTCCCCATATACGACACAATTTTTTTTTGCATTTCAGTTGTGTTTTTTATCCCTCTTGAAATAATAAAGTATAATATGCTGAAAATGCTGTGCATTTTCATTTCCAACATTAAAATGGCTACACAAAAATCACCAATTTTGATAAATCAAAAAAAAGTATGCTATGACAGCTGTCACAATACAATCTAATAAAATTGTTTTGAATGAAGTTAAAGACAACTAAGTGCTACTAGAGCCGTCCTACAGTAAAAAACAAGCATTTTGGCCAACCCAATACACATTAGTGGTGAGGCTGGGATTTGGACCTGAGACTCCCTGCGTAGCGCCATGCTGGGCTCTTCTTTTTTCGGTGAGACACCAGTAGGTCAAGCCTGCCTAGTCTGACTATGCTGCAGTTTCTTGAGCTAATCTATTTGAGCATTTTGGGGGCATATTCCAGTCCTTAATTGATCGGACTTCACACCGTTGGTCCTCCTACTTTCACGCGGCTCTTTCCTGAGAGCCCCCCACCCCCACCACATGGGGTCAGATGCTGCCCTGGACACTGACAGTATGGGGGGTGGGCAGTCTAGTTGTCATTCTGCTGCCCCTCCCTGTCCTATTCCTTCCTTTGTACACCTT